TCTTTCCCACTAATAGTCACTCCTCCCTATCCTACCACTTCCACCCTCAGGCTACAAAACCCTTACTTACCACATGGGGATATTTAGCTATTTTAGAAACCAATTTGGCTCTTGTAATATAATATCTGGAAAGAGAGAAGAGGAGGAAGCTGCAGGAGACCCTGGACAGTGCTTATTGCCTCACCAGCCCCCAATTCCTGGGCCAAGCCCAAGTAGCCCTACCTAGAAATCTGGTCCAGATAAGATGCAGCTTCACTCTCAACAGTCCTTAGTTCAGCAACTGTCTCCTCCTGAAAAAAAAAACAGTGAGTCAAAAGTCACTTCCACATCATTCCTCAGCAGACCAAATAGAAACAGAAAACGAAACAGGGGAGATGAGAGTATCTCCCAAACCTTCCTCCCCAGTGTGTAATGCAAGCACATTACCTGAATGGACACCCCGAAGTTGTTCCCATCTTCTATCCTAGGAATCAGGAGCTGTACCCACATTTTGACCTGGAAGGTGAGTAGACCAAAAAATATATATGAAGACCATGGCTTTTGTGGATGATGTAGTATACAATTTATGCTATTGGGGCCAGATTTCAGGAGCACAGGAGCCAAGATACTTAGTCTGCCAACACCCATATCACCTCCATGCCTCCAGCCCCACCATCCATCATTTTTCATAGTTCAATCCAGGCTGTCTGAAGTCAGCCCATAGGTCACTAGCCCCTGCCTCACCGTGTTGCATTTCTCAATCAGCAGCCGGATCTCAGGTTTCACTTTCTCAATAATGTCCACCAGCTGCTGGTTGCTTTTTAGCATCCCATTGGGCATCACAAACACCTTGGTTCCTGGCAGGGACATGAAGAAGGCCAAATGATTGGGGTGGGGGCCAGGACACAGGATCCCCCATCCTTCTGTCTTCTTCCTCAGACCCATGAGATGCCATGACCGCTGCCTTTTATCTGTCACAACCCTATCTACGAACCATGACATCACTAACAGAATAAAAAAGAGAATGTATGAATTAACAAGTGAGTGTCTAAAGTATGCCCAAATAAGGAAATCTAAATACACTCTACAGATTTAATGTACCAACTACCATTGAAGAGGAAAAAATAACATGGAACTGGGACTTCTGTGAAAAATCTACAGCATGTAGCCACCTCCCAACTTCTCTCCTTTAGCAGTTCACACTAAGTCAAATCCTCCCTGTTTATTGAAAAATTAGGTTTAGAGTGCTAAATAATGACAATTGTTTGGAAGACTTGGGAATGGTAACTCTGAGAAATAAAATCAGATCCTGCTTCCAGGCCAGGAGAATACCAGATCCATCCTGCTTCTCAAGGCTGCAAGCCAGAGGGTGGGAGGGGTAGAGGAGGGAAGGGTGGCTCTTACCTTGGAAGGCCTCTTCACACTCATCCAATCTTCGCTTCTTGTAAGTGGGCTAAGTATACAAAGAGACAGGAATTAGCCTGCTCTCAACACGCAAAGCCCTATCATAGGTTACACTTCAAACAAGCTTAGTCCCTTCTTTGACCCCACAGGTTATCTTATTAATTCATGCACAACTTACCAAGCACATCCAAGACTTTAAGAAAAGATTCTTGCCACAAAGCAACTTACATTCTAGTTGGTAAGACCAACCTTTCAAGAAATACACTACATTAAGCAATTAGGGGAGGGGGTGGATACTATAAACAACAGGAAAAAAAGAACCATTCAATGCAGGGTAAAGATAATTAAAGGGAATATGTACAAATTTATTGGTTCCACAAAGAAACATAATATTCAATTAATAAACACATATTTAAGCACCTGCTATGTACTAGGAACAATGTTAGGTGCTGGGGATACAAAAATGATTAAGACAGTTTCTGCTTTCCAGAATGGCAAATCCTATCAATGACACAGTAATGCAGACAAAGAACAATAGTGTCATCGGTGTTATAGAATGTGGAAATATAACTGATAAGGACTAGGTAATAAAGATACACACCAAAGACAGGGTCAGCAGTTATATATCAAGAAAAACTACTCATCCCATAACAAGACTCAAGACATTGAAACAGGTAAGAAAAGTCTTGCTTAGAGCCATGAGGACAGACCAGATAACCTGAGGGCACCTGTAGCTATTAGTCCTACTTGAAACTCACTCTCACAGAGTAGCGTTAGCAAATTCACCACCTGCTATAAATGAAAATTAGTGTCTAAAGGGGGTGTTCTGGAGTCATGTTTGTGACAGTCCTCATTCCCAGATCCAAAACCCACTGTCTCCTCTGTACATGTTCAAACTGACCAGGAAATAGAAGAGAGTACCTATTGCTTCAGAACACAAAGATAAATAGAGAACACTTACACCGTCCAGTCCATCATGGCTATTGGTGAGAAGAATGGGGTCAGGGACAGGTAGATTCATATCTGAGTGGATCTGAGTTAGGTCATGGATGTTTAGGATTGGTTCCTGAAAGAGACGCCCAACCCCCAAACAGTAGTCTTTTCAAGATGAACAAAAAATTTGAAGGGCAATAAATGAGAATGCTTTAATGCTTTACGGTACAAAACAAAAGAGAACCAACACATGACTTGTCCCATTTGAGAGAAAGACCAGAACCAAAATAATTGGGGAATTGGAGGAAAAGAAAAAGGTCTCTCACCTTCAAAAAACTATCAAGTTCTAACAACTTCTTTGGGAAAAAATTTGCCACCAAGTCTTCTGCCTAAAAATGAGGAAAAATTCATTAATAATTGTGGGAAGGTAACTCTCTACAGTGATCTCTTCTTTTGGAAACTCAATCATTAACCAACACTCATTTTTCTGTTTATTTCACTCACCTCACTTGTGATCCGCTCCCTGAAAGAATCAACCTAAAATTAACAAAGAAAGCAATTCAGTAAGAGCAAGTCAGTACCTGGCAAATGAAGTATGGGCAGGATGGGGAAACCCAAATCTAGCTCTTGCCCTCACCTTGTAATTATAATGAGAAGCTGAGAGGCCCCCAGATTTCAAATACTTCATTTTTTTGAGAACCCATTTCTCCATCTCAGGAGAGGGAAGCGGGGCTTGAGGGCAGCACCCGCCTGTCTTGTCTCCCTCCCTCCCTGTGTCTGAGGCTATCTGAATTTGAGAGCAGACGAAAGACAGGTAGATAGGGGAGGTGTGAGCTCACAAAAGCGCCAACCCCAATTCAGACCTTGCCTATGATGCGAGGCAGGCCTGACGCCAAGGGCAGGGGCAGAGGCAGCGTCCGGAGGCGGGGACGTTGCTGGGCTGGGTAACTTCCAGCTGTCACTAGCCTAAAGCACTGAGTCCACCACGTGTCCGCGGAAGTCTCCCTGGGGCTCTCCATCACCAGATGAGGTACTGAAGGCCACCCTATATTATCCTCTCCCCCGATGCCATCTCAGCCAGTGGGGGGCTGGGCTGAGCCGAGCGGAAGCTCAGAGCTGGTGTCCCCAGGGAGACAAAGACGCCATGGGGAGTTGGGAGCTGGTCAGACTGCTCCGGGATCGAAGCGAGGGATAAGGAGGCCGGACGGGCGCCGCTACCTTGAGCTTCACTTCCTGATCCACCTTCAGCAACGAGGCCATGGCCGGGCCGGGCCGTGTCCGCTCCGCTGGAAACCGGAGGCGCTGTGGGCTCCGGGGAGGGGGTCAGAAGGACGGGAGGAAACTCGACTGCTCTCAGATGCGGCCGCCCTCGCTGGCTCACTCACTGCTCGCTCGCTCGCTCGCTCCCTCCCTCCCTCCGTGCTGCTTGCCCGCCCGCCTGCTGCCTGCTGCCTGCTGCCTGCTCACTCTCTCGCTCGCCCTCCCGGCTTTCGCCGCTCACGCCGGACGTTACGTCACAGCCAATCGCCGGGACTCCGGCGAGGATGCGCACGTGCCCTGCGCAGCCGCACTGAGGTTCGGCTCTGGACGCTCCAGCCCGCCCCTTATCTCCCGGGTTCCAGTGCCTTGTAAGAGACAAGTGAGAGGGTGGGTGGCGGAGTCTTGTTTACGCGAACTGAGTCTCAAAAAGACTCGGGAACTGTTTGACTCTCGTTAGCCCGGCACCCTCCTTCACTGAAGGGACCTTCTGAGCCACTGCCGCTTTGAGGACAGAACCGACGGCGCCGTCGCGCCCCAGTGACGTCGGACTGAGGAAGCAGGCGGTCCCGGAGCTGGGTTCGGGGGTCTAGTCTGCGAGCTGCCTCCTCCCTTTGGCCGAAGCTCTCGTGTTTAGGCTAGAGCCAAATAGAAGAAAAGTTCTATTGTACCAGGCTTCCCCACCTTTCTCCACCACTTATCTTCATACGTTTTCAGACCTCAGAGATCAACTGCTTGATGGGCAAATTGACGCCCAGAGAGGGATAGGCTGCACAGTGATAACAGTAAATCCTGGACCAGAACCCAGATCTCCAGACTTAGAGGACAATGCTGTATCCATTTTCCTAAGGAAGGCAGAGACCGTATCTTTTTATTCACGCATTCGTTCGGTCTGTCTCTTAACATTGGTTATTTCGCTCAGTGGGTGAATGTCAGTGGGCCAGGACACTGCTAGACTCTGGGACAATACTGCCTCAGAGCCTAGAAATGTAACGTGAGTCACTTATGTAAGTTAAAATCTAAGAGTAGCCACACTAAAAAGTAAAATAGATGAAATTAATTTTAATCATGTTTAACCTAGTTTATCCAAATATTTCTCAACAGGTAATATAAAAAATATTAACGAGATTGTATACATTCTTTTTTCATACCAAGTCTTCGAAATCCAGTGTGAATTTTACACTTAACTGCACATCTCAACTCAGAGGCGCCACATTTGTAATGCTGAATAGCCACGTCTGACTAGTGCCTCCTGTATTGAAAAGCACAGCTCTGGGAAATCGAAGGTAAATGAGCTTCAAGTTCTTGGGTCTCATGGGGCTTAATATTGGGGAAGGACACCAGAAAGTAAACTAGCAACATAATTACAAAATCTGATAAATGTTAGTTAACAAATGACTGATATAAAGAATACCAGAGGTCTGTTTTAGGAAGAATGGACAAGGAAGGCCTCTCAGATTATGCTGAAATCTAAAGGATGTAAAGGAGTTAGCTTGGGAGGAGTGAAGGGACAAGCCTCAAAGGTACAGGTGCAGCATAAGCAAATTCTCTGGAGAGTGAAAGAGGTTGTCCTATTGAAGAAATTGAAAGACTAGTGAGCTGGAGGTGGAAGTGGGGCGGGGAGGGTTGTTAGGAAACAATTGGAATTAAGTGCAAAGGCAGGTAATCTGATGTACGTTTTGGGGTTGCCGTTGCTGCTGAACATTTATCCCGGGAAGGCCTCTGTGCTAAGTGCAAGGAAAATGGTGGGAATATGCAGTTAAGTGAAGTGCAACTGACTGTGGCCTTTGGAATCAGAGAGACCTGGCTTCTATCCCTATCTCAGCTCTTTACCAACTGTGATATCTTGGTAAAATTACTGAAATGCTGTCTCAATTCCTTCACCTGTCAAATGGATTTTCAGTCATTATTAATAAATAATATATAATTCCGTAGGGTTGTTGTGAGTATTGGAAATCATATATATGTTAAAGAACTAGCACAGTGCCCAGACACAAGGCAGGAACTAGATACATTAGTTAGTAGCCTTTGTCAGATAAGCTACCTGTTAGTGCTTAGCATGAAGAGGTTACTTCTTAAACTATATAATTTTCCTTGCTTTTAGACTCAAATTCCTTTTCCAATTATTCGGAGCTACATACAACATTGCCCATACTACCCATCTTGCTTATCAACATCTAACTTTTCCCCCTTCTTCCTCTGCTTTCTGTTAACATTTGTCCCTAGTTTTTGTCCCAGTTGTCTACTCACGTTACATTTCTAGGCTCTGATCTGGAACCTAATTTCAGGAATGCTTTCCCAAATTAACTTCACCCCATTTTAAGTGTGCCATTACCCTGCATTGCTTACAGAATTAATAACTTCAACTTGAAAACTTAGTATGTTTGTGCTTGTTGAAATATGGCTTTGTTCTCAAGTAATTGTGTTTTGTCTTCAAGTAAGTCATAAGAAGACACATTCCTAACTCTGATCTGGAACCTAATTTCAGGAATGCTTTCCCAAATTAACTTCACCCCATTTTAAGTGTGCCATTACCCTGCATTGCTTACAGAATTAATAACTTCAACTTGAAAACTTAGTATGTTTGTGCTTGTTGAAATATGGCTTTGTTCTCAAATAATTGTGTTTTGTCTTCAAGTAAGTCATAAGAAGACACATTCCTTCTCTATTTCCCATCCTCTTCCCTTATCCAAATGTTTTATATAATACTCTACTCATTGTTTATTTATTCAGTGAGCAGTTGCTGAGGGTACCATTATATTTAACAAACTATTCTTTCCTGGGTGCTTATGAATCAAACACAATCACTAATGGCTGGTCTCACTTTAAATTCATGTCCACAACTCTCAAATGGGTGCACAACACTGCCTGAGATCCTACTATGTGCTTCTGACAAGTTTACTCTCCCACACTCCAAATGACCATCATACCTTCTCACCTTCCTAAACCTCTAATATCCCTCCCCTCCCAACTCCAATTTATGGTCTTGGATTATTCTTCACTGAGAAAACAGAAGCAAATGAGAACTTTATTTCACCCCCAGATCTGCCAATCTGCAAATCCCTTCTGCTTTTCCTCCTCTTTCATTGAAGGAAACATCTGTTCCCATCAAAAACCAACACTTCCTTTTGTGTGCCGGAAACCAGCCCCTTTCACTTTCTGATTATCCTTCAGTGATCATCCTTTTTTTTCTCCTATATTACATTTATCTCTCTCTACTGGATCACATCCAAACATGATAAGTACCTCCTATCTTGAGAAAAACCCTCCCTTGAACCCAGATTTCTCTCACACTTTTTTTCTGTACTCTTCTTCATAGTCAGACTTCTTGAGCAATATTATTGTCTCTTACTCTTCTTTCTCATCTCCAACTTACTCTAATCCATTTCAATCAGGCTTTCCCATTCCATGTTCTCACTGAGATAGTTTTGTTGGATTACCAATGACTTCCATGTTGACAGTACCAGTGGTCACCTCTCCCTCTTACCTAAAACTCTCAGTGGTACTCAACAGCTGTATGCTGATGGCCCTAAATTTTTCCAGTCCTGACATCTAACTGAGCTCCAGTTGTCTACTTTGGCGTCTCTACTTGGGTAGCTAATAGGCATCTCAAACTTAATGTGGCCAAACCAGAATTCTTGATTCTCCCACACACCTGTTATTTTCCTACTCTTCCCCATCTCAATAACTGACAGAACTGTCTACCTAGTTATTCAAACCAAACAACTATCAACCTGATTCCTCTCCCTCGTCTCCCCACATCCAACCATCAGCAGGTCTTGTCAGCCTTACCTGAATAATGAATCCTGTATGAGCATGCTTTTCTCTGTCTCATTTGTTATCCTAGTCAGTCATTGTCATCCTTTGCTAGGACTATTACAATAGACTATTTGGTCTCTATTTTCACTCTTGCCACCACACCCACTACCACATTCTAGTCTCTACTCACACCCAAACTATCTTTTAATATGTCAACCACGGTTATAGCAATATCTACTAAAGCTGAATAAACATATGTATAGATTTCTATATATACCTGTGACCCAGAAATCTCAACTCTAGAAACATACCCAACAGAAATGCATAAATACATTCATCAAGAACATGAACAAGAATGTTTGTGTCAACACTATTCACAATAGCTGCAACTGGAAACTACTCGAATGCCTCTCAAGAGTAGGATAGATAACTAAATTTTAATATATTCACAATGGAATACCGCATAGTATTGAGAATAGATGAACTAAAACACATAAGATGGAGGAATCACAATACTAGGCAAAAGAAGAAGGTTGACGGGGGGCTGGGTGAAAAGTAAAAGGATAAAGAAGTACAAATTGGTAGTTATAAAGTCACAGATGTAAAGTACAGCATAGGGAATATAGTCAATAACATTGTAATAACTATGTACGATGCCAGGTGGGTACTAGATTTATTGGGGGGATCGCTTCATAAATTATATAAATGTCTAACCACTGTGCTGTATACCTGAAACTAATAATGTTGAATGTCAACTGTAATGGAAAAATAAAATAACAAAATTTAAATAAGGAACCAAAAACGAAAGAGTCAAAAACAGTCAAAACTAATCTATGGTGGTAGAAGTGAGGATGCTCTTTCCCCTCATGATGAGTAGCACCTGGAAGGGGGCATGGGCCAGGAGAGTTGCTGATTACAAATGTGTGTGTTCATTTGTGATAATTCACTGAGCTGTACACTTATGTTTGTGTCCTTTTCTTAATGTAATGCTTCAATAATTTTAAAAGTCAGCCAGATTATGTCTCTTCCCTGTGTGTCATCCTCAATGATTTCATAGCTAATAGAGGCCTTCCTGAATCCCCCAGTTGAAGTAACTCCATCTACCCTTGCCCCCACTTAATGTGTTTACTGCTATAACAAAGTACCACAAACTGGGTGGCTTAGAACAAGAGAAATGTATTGTCTCACAATTTTGGAGGCTAGGATTAGCTAGAATCATGAAATCAAAGTAGCTGGACTGTGCTCCCTCTGAAGGTGCTAAAGAAGAACATGTTCCAGGCCTCTCTCCTAGCTCCTGGTAGCTTCAGATGTTCCTTGGCTTAGAAACAACTGTCTTCTCTCTGTGTCTCTTCACGTGTCTTCCTTCTGTTCATGTCTATCTTTGTATCCAAACTGTCTCTTTATAAAAACACCAGTCATTAACTTATCTGCAAAGATTCTATTTACAAATAAGGTCACAGTCACAGGTACTGGGGTTAGGACATCA